CCGCCTCCCCCGCCCCCGCCACCCGCTCGGGTTATACACTCCATATTACACCGCCTCACCGGCCCCGCGCGCCGAAGTGAGGTGAGATGCCTACTCCCCGCAGCCGGCTGGGCTGCTGCTGCTGCCCAAACCGTTTTCGGGCAGCCTTTATTGCCATCGCATACCGCTAGAATGCTCATTCCCAATCCTCATTGAAGTTGAAGTATAGGGCGCTACTTGTTCATCTGGCTGACCTATAGCGCTCAGCTCGGCGTTCGCTCTCGGTCGGGGCGTTTGCTGCGACAATCGGTTATCGCATTATTAGGATTTTGATGATGAGAAACTCGCCGTGCTGTTGCAGAGCTCCGAGAGGTCCGCTCCGCGAGTCCGATGCTGCCCGTCGTGGCGCCCCTCCGCCCGCCGCTGTCCTCCGCGCAGGCCGCGGCCCTGGAGCACGAGCCCGGCCGGCACCCTGGGGCCCGGAAGTGGGCCCGCCTGTTCAACAAATCAGCCTGCGATTGGAGGTAGGTAAAGATGCCAGGGGTGGTGGTGCGATGCGTTCACGATGCGCTCTTTGTATTTCTTGTATCGTTGTTACGTTTTGTCCCTTTTCGTGAAGGCTGGAGGTGCGGTGGTGGGGAGTTCGCGGCTGGGGCCATTCGTGGCCGTGCCCAGCGGGCGGCGTGCGCGCCGTGCTCCACTGCGGCGCCCAGCACCTGCGCAGCTCCCCGATGGGGCGCGGGGGTGACTTCCCCGCCGAGCACGGCCCCGGCGGCCCCGGCCGACCCGCAGAGGCGATCCACTTAGTGAGTTTGTCGCCCGATAACGGAAAAACGGAGTTTCGGGTGTGTGGGCGGATGGGAGGAGGAGGGGGTGGGGAGCGTAGGATGTGGGTTAAGCTCTTAAAAGATTGGCGACGGCCGAGTTCTGGGCGCTGGACCTTGGTTGCCTACCCGGATGGCGCTATAGGTCCTAAGGGACGTCCTGGAAGCACGGGCGCAGGTGCGAGAGGGCTCTGTCCATGGAGCGGCACGAAAGGCCCCCGGGGTAGGACTCCACAAGTCCAGCTTGCTTCTGTGCATCTAGGGTGGGGCCCAATATTTATACCCCCCTCACGACGTCCCGATGGTTTCGAACTGATCGCACAGACCGCCTCTGGAGAGTCGGCCGTGGTGTTCACCCTCGAGGCGAGCGGGACGCCCCTGGCGTGCAGCGGCAGCTACCGTCTCCGGGACTTCCTCCGTGCCGTCCCCGCGGGGTCCAAGAAGGGCGTCCACCAGGACCGCGCTGAGGGTCGCGCCCGCCGCTGGCACGCGCCATTCCGACGTGGCCGACGCAGAGGTGAGCCGGGCGAGCATGTGCTTAATCAAAAGTACGGTTAGCTGGTCACTCAATCTATTTATTCTTCTCAGAATACTGTACCGCGTGCAGTCGTGCGGTTGGGTTGCCTACTCGCTCGGCGCCGTAAGACGCTCGGTGCCGTTTGGGGTGGTTGTCACTTTTATCTGGCCGGGTGGGATTCAGCTCTAGGTCGGTCGGTGTCTCAGGCGACGAGGAGGAGGCCGGCGCCCTGCTGACGACTATCGGGGACTCGGAGGGCTCTGGTGCGGACGACCCGCGGCCACGCCACAGCCACCCCTCGGTGCGCCCCAGCAGCAGCCAGGTGAGAGCTCCCGGCGTACCCGCGGCGGCCGAGGCCCTGGCCAAGGTCCACGGCTGTCCTCGGACTCTCCTTCTCCATAGTCGACCGCCCGCGACCGCCAGCATCGCTCTGCCCGAACCAGACGGAGGTGCGCGAGGCCGAGTCCCCCTGGTGGGCCGCCTACCAGCGGGGGCTGGCGCCCGTCCTGGAGGGCTCACTGGAGAACTCCGCTCTCTACTCGGGGCTCCAGGACGTACTCACCGTGGCCCCCCTGCGCGTGTGCAGCGCCACCGACGTGAAGCCCCGTCCACTATTCCTAAAGGTGCAGCCGCTGGTCTTTCTTAGCTTGATTGTATTATGGAACACACTCAAATATTGTGTCACGTCGTCCCCAGCTGGCTGTGGCGGCCGCACCCGTTCAGCGTGGTGAGCCTAGCCGGCCACTCCTCGGTGCCTTGCCGGACAGCAGCCCTCGCGAGGTCCTCGTCAGAATCTACGTCATCCAGGTCCTCCAGACTACCTGACCACCTCACATGGTCTTCGCTCCTGAACACACCCTGAACGCGCCGCTCGTTACCTGTCCTCTTCAAGGCGCTGGGCCTGAGGCCCAAGACCTCCAAGACGCGGCAGAGCAGCAGTGGGTTGTCCAGCGGGCTGTCTAGCGGCTCCAGCCTCCCCACGGCGCCAGCTGCACTCAAAGTACGCCCGGGCTGAGGTGGGTGCACGCCGCTGGGGTGGGCGCTCGCGACCGCGGCCGGGCACTCATTGCGCTCATGCAGGTGCGGAGGGCGTACCTGACAGCTGCGCTCAGCGGAGGGGAGGTCGTCGGGGAACCGGAACACGCCGTCGAGGAGGCCGGGGCCCGGACGTGCTTCGGACAGTGAGGCTCTGAGCACGCGAACAGTTACCCCGTAGACTGCCTCCATGTGGTGACGAGCCAGTCCGACAGGGTGCTGGAGCTGCAAGCGAGGCTTCCCGAGGACTGGCAGGTCACGGTGTCTGTCCGGGACGCTGACGGGGACGCGGTCCTCGGAGAGGCTAGACTGGACCTCGAGAACAGGCTGCTTTCCGGGCACCGCGCTTGCGCCGGCCTACCCGCCGAGTACTGCAGGTGCGTGGGGTGTGACCTGTAAGGTCCCTGCTGGCTCCAGTCGAGTCCACAGTCCACAGTTGTCACGCTGTCGGTGTCGTCCAGCAGGTATGGTTGGCAAAAGTGGCGAGAGTCAAGCCCGCCGTCGGCGATCCTGGCCGACCTGTGTTCCGCGGCAGGACTCCCACCGCCTACCTACGGGGAGCACTGCGTGACCGTCGGCAACGTGACGGTCACGGCCCCGGAGGACAGCCCCACTGGTAAGTCGGGTGCGAGCGCCCCCTCGCGGTCACGGCGGACTTGTGGTGACGCGGTGGTACCTCCAGGCGAGCGGACTGAGGACGCCGCTCTGCGTGCACTGCTGCGCTGGCAGGACCTTGTGCCGGGCGGCAAGCGGCTCCTGCGGGCGGCCCTGGAGACCGTCGCCCTCGAGCCGACCCAGGCGCGGCTGCAGCTGTGGGTGGACGTGCTGCCCCCGCACCCGCCGCCACCGCCGCCCCTGCACGTGGCGCCGCCGCCCGCGCGGCCCCTGCTGCTCACCCTGGACGTGCGGAGCCTCGACGGCGTGGCCGAGCACGAGCCGGGCGGGCTCAACCTGGTGGCGCGCGCCTGGCTGAGCGGCTGCAAGGCGGGCGCGGTCAGCTCGCCGCCCGTCGCCTGGTCAGCGGGGCAGCCGCAGCAGCCGCAGGTGCAGCTGAGGCTGCCGCTGCTGTACAGCCCGCTCCACAGGCGCCTCCTCGCTCCCCACCGCCAGCTGCGGCGTCTGCGCCGTCCGCATCTGCACCTGCAGCTGCACCACCTGCCGAGCAGGGCTGCGCGGAAGTGCCTAGGTACGTACGCCCATATCGGCCGTTACACCCGCCAACCCCAGAGCCTTGTGGCAGGTGTCCGCTCCCGCAGTACTGCATGTTGTCCGAGAGTCCGTAGGCCTGACCCTGGTGTGCTGTCGCGGCTCTCGCAGGCCGGCTGACAGTGGACCTCAGCCGCCTCCCCGCTGGCGTCTGCCCGGCCGAGGACGGCGACCTGTTCGCGTGCGGCGCGGCGGCGGGCACCTGGGCCCTGGCGGGCCTTCCCCGCGGCCGCGTGGCCGGCCGCCTGGACATGGCGCTGGGCGTGAGGCCGCTCCCGCGCAGTCCGTGCTCCTCGTCCCCGTCGAGGCACCCTTCCTGGCGGTCCTCCGCCAGCTTCGACGACGGTCCGAGCAGGCGACACAGAAGGTGGGGGCTCGTCCTGTGTCACAAGCTGCGGTTTATCTCCACCATTTCTCATCACGGCGTTGCCTGGTGGCGTTCCCAGCGCACTAAAGTCCCTTCATGCTCCAGGCCCTCAGGTGCAGAAGAGGGCGAAGAAGGACAAGGGGGGCAAGGGGAGAGTCGGGCCAAGCGCTGGATGAACAGCATCAATGACTTCGCCATCAGAAGGCCGTTCTTCGTCATGCGCCTGACCTGCTTCCTCCTCCTGCTCATCGTGTTCTTGGTTGTGTTAGTGATGTCCTTATCGTCCGGCGTATGAAGTTGGTAGCAATATGATAAAGGAACCAAAAATGTAGGTTTTGAGCGCCTAGCTACTTCCGTCCATGACAACTAGCGAAGGAAAACGTCGTCTGTCAAAGAGAGATCTAGTAGGCTAGTCGAGAAATGGACGCCCGAGGTTGCGCCCCGTTTAGGTTCTTCTATCATGGTATTGGCATGTTCCTAGGTCAAGTCGAAGGGTTCTTCTCAGCACTCCCAGCAGGAAAGGGCATGTATAGGACTAGGTTAACATAATT